GGCGGTGTGTAAGCGGAGATTTAGTTTTTTTTTAATTAAACATTTTAATTTACATTCAATCATCCTCACCATCATTTCAACTAGACACTTGTTCGCCTTGTTTATTTTTAAATTATTACCAGTGGGTTAACTGCAAATATCACGTTACGTGAGCAAACCTGGTTCGATCCCTACGGGCCCCAATAAAATTGCTAATTGCTATTTATTGCTCGCGAGTCGACTTAATATGGGGCTCCGCGACAGAATATTAGCGTGCTAACTCTGTTACTGTAGCATTATGTTGAGTAGTCTTTTTGTTGCTGCCATCTTAAATAATAAATTTTAATATTTAGTTAAGTATTAATTTTTGTTGTAAATTGATGTTCTGCAAGTTGCAACAATAAATAAATATGTTTTTCTTTATTTTTTTTCCTATTTTACGTGCTCATCAACCACGTGCTCGGCGGTGAAAAAAACATCGTGAGGTAGCCTGCATGTCTGAGAAATAACAGAAAGTACTTTGAAGACATGTGAAGTCCGCCAACACGCATTAGGGCAGCATGGTGGGCATTTCTTTGCTCTAAAACGCTCTCTGCAATGAGAGGAGGCCTGTGTTCAGGAATGAGCTGCAACTTTACTAACTTTACGTCTGCTAAATAATTGTTTTCTTACTAATTTAAGCCAGTGCGTGACTACTATCCCAATTGATGATAAATACTACTAAGAGATATCACGTTAAGGTTAAAATACATTTCATTATTGGATACAAATTGATTAAACAGCATGCAATGTTAAATGCAACTCGGTATTCAATTACAATTTTGCAGATATTAGCTTACTTGGTTTCTTTTTTATAAATTTACGTTACAATACACCTGATGACAAATGCTTACTGCAGTTCATGGATACCAAAAAAAAAATTAAATTTAAAAAAATACTTCATACAAAGAATGCTACAGATGTATTGACTATGATTAAATGCCTCAGTGTCTGTAAGTATACTGGCTATTATTACTATCTATACACTTCATAAGGAATACAACAGTGTATAATAAGGAATACAATACTGCTGCTTGCTTTGCATCGCGATCTCTCCAGCGATCACTCGCGCCCCGCCCCAATCCTGTCGCCGCCGGTGACACACATGCAGCTTATTACAAGTGTGAAGTCGAGATTGCGCTGTTTTTATTGCGAGTTCCAGTACGCTACATCGCACTCAAGAGGCATGTTCAGGTTGAAAGCTTTTTACTTTTTTATCTTGAAATGTGCCACCTACATACTTTATTATCTGACATCAAACACAAAAAGTTAAAATAAAAAAGTCCGTATTTCAAAACTAAATATAAAAATAACTAAAGTATACAATGTCGGGTTCACTTGATAGAATTCGAAATGAGAATATCGCACTAATAAATGATAGTTTGAAAAAAACTAAAAAAACACGCTTTTATAGATAACCGAACTAAAAAGTAGAAAATAATTTTCAATAAGTTTAAAATAAGAAAATAATGATTAACATAAAAAAGTCATTATATTGTAAAAAAGCGTGGGGTACTTTTTCATATATAATTATGAGGACGCTCATTTTACAAATATCTACAAAAATATTTACAACAAATGACATCAAGCACCCGACGCTTTTTTACAATAAAATAAATTTTTATATTGATCACTATTTTCTTAATAATTTTTTATATAACCGTACTAAAAGTATAAAATTAATTTATACTTTTAGTTCGGTTATATAAAAAAAAATGTTTTTTTAATTTTCTAAACTATTATTTATTTTCTATTTTTAGTGCGGCTAACTACAAAAAATTACTATAAACTACAAAAAAGCGTGTTTTTTTTTTGGGACGAAGTTCTTTTACGCGGCTTACAGTAGATTGAACTGGCAGAAATCGCAGTTGTTTTGTGAATTATTCGCAAATCCTGAGGATCTTGGTAAGGATAATGGGACAAACTATTTAAATTACTGTATTGTCATCGGTTCTTGATAAGTGTGCGAAGTTTCAAATCAATCCGACGTTTTGAAGGGGAGAAAAATCACATTCAAAAGTTCCGTTACATAGATACCTACATACCAAGCTAAAAAAAGCGTGTTAAGAAAAAACAGAGTAAACGACAAAGCCCAATGGATTAGTAAGCTGAAGTGTTAATGGACCGGCCATATAGCTCGAAGAACCGACAACCGAGGAGGAATAAAGTTTGTATCATTTCGGGAGTGCTTTTTCTTCTGACTTGCTTAACAAATATCCATATTTAAGGCTAGCTGAGTAATATAGCTTAATGCTAGATAGCCTATGCTATTTCACATGAATCTGGCTATAATATACAAAAAGAATTTTTCAAATCGAACTGGTAGTTCCAGAGATTAGCGCGTTTAAACAAACAAAAAATCAAAAAAACTTTTCCGCTTTATTATATTAGTATAGAAGTATAGATTTGCATTTATTTACGAGTTACGATTTATTGTTGATTGTTAGTGTATAATTATGGTTAGTTATAAGTTTATAAGATATCCTTCATATAATAAGGTTATATTAAGATGCCAGTGCCCACCAAAATTTATATAAAAAAAATTGTTTCTATTTTATTTTTTCTTTACTAATGTAATTAGTCTTATTATGTGAAAGCATAGAATTACTACGTAAATTTTATATGTGAAAGCTTGTCAAGAAGCTAAGGGTGACAAACGAATGTACAGGTTACCACATGGCAAATGTCTAAAGACTATAATGGAATGCCTCGTTTCCAGTATAAGAGGCCTCGGTTCTTTGTCATACTTAAAGTATGGTGGTTTCCTATGCAAGTGTGGTTTTCCCCTGGTTTTGCCAACCCAGTTTACTACAGCTGTAAATCCATGAAACGCTACAGCGTAAGTCTACGTGATAAATTATAGTACTCTATATTATTTATTACGTGGATAGAGTACAAAATTAATGGTAAGTACTCGCACTAAGTAATAGTTTTTTTTATATAAAATTATAATGACAAATGAACTTACAGTTTGTGGAGTGCAGCAGTCACTTACCATCAAGTAACTTACCTGATGGTAAGTGACTGCTGCACTCCACGTACACCTGCAGTCCACTTCAAACAAAGATTGTTGAAAGCTTGTAATTACACTGGTTCTTTATAGTCTACACCCAAAAAACCAGACCACAATAATGCACGCTCTGCTATTTGACTACAGAAATAGGTAAATGTAGATGTCTATGGGCCACAGTAACCACTTACCAGCAGGTGGACTGTGTGCTCGTTTGTCACCCTATCCTATAAAGAAAAGTAAGAGGATGATACCTAATCAGACAAAGTCCTATGCAGAAAGGGAGTCCGACCACATTTTAGTACTCGTAAAAGTAATTGGACTCCTAGATATTATCAGTGACAGTTTAATGGTGCAGTAAAACCTAACGCAAACAAATAGAAAGTCATTTGCATGGTACTAGTAAAGTCGTTCAAACTTCAAACTATTCCGAAAGTTAACTTGACAAATGAATTAATGATTTTCGACTTCACACAACAACATAAACAAAGTAGTTTTGTAATATCCGACATCCGTTTCCCATGTTGCCAATGTTGTCTAGTCGCTACTATAATATTTAGTCGGATAACGTTGTTTTTCCACTTTATTAAGTCGAGTATTCATGTCGGCTCAGAGGTTATGAGCCAAGTAATTTATATAACACCGTTATTGACCGCTTATCTCAAACGAATCGCAAATAAATACATATATTTTATAGGATTACTGTCGACTTTAATTGAAATCCAACATCAAACATTAAATAAGCTGGCTGTGTGTGGCTTGAAATTGTGTACTTAATACATTATATATTAAAATTATGACATAGTGTTTCAACGAAATGTTTTCGATATTTTAATAAAATAATATATCTTTATTTTATTTGTACGTGGTAGAGCCATGCTGTAGCTATATTATGGTTGAAGCAAGGATGGGTCAGCTCGACCGGAGAAAGACCGTTCCCACAGAATACCAGTGTAAAAAAGCAGTTTAATGCTGCTGTGTTTCGTATGGTGAGTGTAGAGAACTGGAGACCCTTTTTACTGGAAACGAGACATTCCATCTTAGTCCTCAGGGGTAAGCTTACGATCGCAGCCTCTGAATTTTTTCTTTCTAAAATAAGTGTGACAAATAAAGATATGTACATTGCACATTATGTTGTGATTCATAAATCCTACATCAATAATTTATTCATTCAACATTTATTATAGTCTTTCAAAAGTCCACTGCTGCACATAGGCCTCCCCATAAATTGCTTTATAGGGGGTATATTTTATTCAACATTTAAGGTAAAGGCACTAATGCTCAACAGTGAACTAAAGGATGACACATTCGAAAAAAAACTCTTTTATTAAGAATATTTTTCTTGATATAACTTTACTACTGTTGTTAAAGTACACCTAGTGCCATCTGTGACGCTTAGACAAAACCATTCATTCTAATTTTTAAGCAGAATTCAAAATGGCGTCAGTTGAAGTAAACTATGTCGCAAGTGAACGCGTGCTCTGTGATTTACTATCAAAAAATTTAAGGAGGCTGACATTTTACAGGTTTAATTTTGTTTATATTTGTAAGGTTTATCCTACTTTTTGTTTTGGTTATAAATTAATAAGATATTATTTACATAGTAAGACCTCACAGACTTCGTTTTTTGTTTATGTTTTGTAATTATTTAGACTGTCTACTATTAGTGTCAAAAATCAGTCAAAACCTAAAAGCAGACACATGTGTCATCTATTGGGGTAATACGAATCTGAATTTCTAAGTGTCCGTTTGAACAACTAAAGACTCTATTTCCTATGAATAAAGTCCTGTCTAAATTTGAGTACTTTTTCTCTATCGTACCTAACAATATACAGGATGTCAACTATTAGAGTACAAGATGTCAACTATTAGAGTACAAGATGTCAACTATTAGAGTACAAGATGACAACTATTGGTGTCATCGTCAATTAGTTAGATGTCCTTTTGTTTCCAGATTTTATATTTGAACAAGATGCCGCCAATAAAAGGAAAGATGTTTTGTTATTCTGAAGCTGATATGGAAGCAGCTATAGAAGAATGCAGGCGAGGTGTTCCGACAGCTACTGCTGCCAAAAAATTTGGTGTACCGAGAGTAACCCTATTAAATAAAATAAAGGGAAAAACACCAATAAAACGTAAAATGGGAAGAAACTGTTATATGACCGAAGAAATAGAAAAGATGTTGGTAACGTGGGCAAAAGCTATGGTGAAACAAGGATTTCCAATAGGGAAAGACAATTTGCAGGATAGTGTTAAGAAAATAGTGGATGATTTAAATTTAGAAACCCCTTTTAAGAACGGTAGGCCTGGAAAGAGATGGTACAGTAGCTTTTTAAAACGTCATCCTGATCTTATTACAAGACACCCTCAAAATTTGACTACTTCCAGAGCTAGTGTGACAACATCTCAATTGAAGAACTGGTTCGAAGAGGTCAACATCTACTTAAACGATAACAACTACAGGGACATTTTGAACGAACCTCAAAGAATTTTTAATATGGATGAGACAGCTTTTTTCTTAAATCCTAAAGGTAATAAAGTGTTAGCACCTAAAGGAGAAAAATCAGTTTACCAGCAAATTAATGCGGATGAAAAAGAATGCTTTACTGTACTTCTAGGTGGGAATGCTACCGGCGATGTTCTACCTCCTATGGTCATTTTCAAATATGAGAGGATACCAAGAGAGTTAAGTTTGTCTGTTCCTGAAACTTGGAGTTTGGGACGTTCCGATAATGGCTGGATGACCAGAGAGACATTTTATGAGTACATCTGCAATATTTTTAACAAATGGTTGGATGATAATAACGTTCCAAGACCAGTGCTGCTTTTTATAGATGGTCATACTTCACATCTTTCTTTCCAAGTTAGTAAATTTTGTTCTGAAAATGGCATTATATTGATTGCTCTCTTTCCAAATGCGACACATTTACTGCAACCAATGGATGTTGCAGTTTTCAGAAGTCTTAAGGGAGCTTGGAAGACTGCAGTGCATTCTTGGCGGTTAGAAAATATTGATTCTCCCGCTTTACGAAAAATACATTTTTGTCCTTTGTTAAACAAGGTACTAAAGGATACACTGACACCTGCAATATTTCAGAATGGTTTCCGTAAGTGTGGACTTATGCCGTGGAATCCTGACGAAGTATGTTGTATCCCAGAACCACTGACTAACGATTTAGCAGATTTACAAGCCATGGCAAAAATTAAGGAACTTGAAATCGGAATAAATTTTTTAGATAAATATATAGATGCTGAAAAAATTTATCAGTTTAAAGGTTGCAATGAATGGTTAGGCGTAAAAGAAGACATATCATTGTTTCAATTCTACAAAAAGGTAGAAGAATTGTTAAATGAGAGCAAAAAAAACCTAACATCATCTACTACATTGACCAGTCAAGATCTCATTTCGGAACAAAGCAGCACGACTGCAATTAAAACTCTAGCTATGAATGACGAAAATCTTAATGTAACATTAGATATTATAACAGAAGACCCAAAAACTCCTAGCAAAGTCCCTGATGACAATATTTCTCGAAATACTCAGAATAACACGAACATAAACTCATTAACAATGCCTTCCACATCAACACAACATATATCAGCAGAAAATTCCTCAAAAGATATGATTATACCTAGTCCATTTAAAAGGGCACTGTTTTGGCCAACACCTAAAGAAAACTGTAAAAAAAGGAAGAAAGAAAAAATACCCTCCGTTGCATCCTCCCTTCAATGGCAAAAATATCACGAAAGCAAAGAGAAGAAAAAGACAGAATTAGAAGAAGAGAAAAAAAGAAAAGCTGAAGAGAGGAAAATGAAGAAAAAACAGAACGAAGAGGCGCGGCAACTTAAAACTGCCCACAAATTAGCTAACAAAAACCTTAAGACTGTGAAGAAGAAAATTAATAACACTGAATATAGTAGTGACACGAGTACTGACACTGAATGGGTAGAATCTGGAGATAGTATGGATGACGTATCTGACGAGCACGAAAATGATGATGAGGAAAATGTATGGTTAGAGCAAGAAGAAGATATCAAGCAGAGTGATTACGTAATTGTTAATTTTCCCGGGAAAAAGAAATTTTACAAATATGTTTGCATTGTCCAAAAAGTCACACGGACAGATATTGAAGTTATGGCTATGATGTGTTGTGATCAATCTAAAACAGTATTTAAAGAAAACGATAATGATATCAGCACCATCAGTAAATCTCAAATAGTTGAAGTCCTCCATCCACCTAAAATGATTATAACTGGTGATAGAATTAAGTATAAATTTGACGCGCCTTTGCAAGTTGATGGATAACACTCAATATGAAAATATTTATCTTAAATATTTTCTGATGATTTGGTATTTGATTAAACGCATACTTTAGTATGATATAAATGTGCAATTCTAATATGTCTACTATTAGTGCTTATTGATGTCTACTAATAGTGGTAAAAATGTCATCTTTTAGTTCCTATGCCAAAGTTTAAATAAATACAAATTGTAATATAAAGAATGTTGATTATTTAAGTTTTTATTATTAAAATTTGTTTTCGTAATGTTACTGTACTCATCTAAAAAACTGTGACTGTTCTAGTTATATAAATATATTTGATTATGAAGTATAAAATTTGTGTATTCCTTAAAGTGTCGAGCATTAGTGCCTTTACCTTATTATAGTCTTTCAAAAGTCCACTGCTGCACATAGGCTCCCCATAAATTGCTTTATAGGGGGTATATTTTATTCAACATTTATTATAGTATTTCAAAAGTCCACTGCTGCACATAGGCCTCCCCATAAATTGCTTTATAGGGGGTATATTTTATTCAACATTTATTATAGTCTTTCAAAAGTCCACTGCTGCACATAGGCCTCCCCATAAATTGCTTTATAGGGGTTATATTTTATTCAACATTTATTATAGTCTTTCAAAAGTCCACTGCTGCACATAGGCCTCCCCATAAATTGCTTTATAGGGGGTATATTTTATTCAACATTTATTATAGTCTTTCAAAAGTCCACTGCTGCACATAGGCCTCCCCATAAATTGCTTTATAGGGGGTATATTTAATAGTAGGCAGGCGTGTTAGCAACCGCACTTTTATATTTTCTAGTTGTTATTAGGAAGTCGCTGCTGCCTATCTCCTGGTTGTTTTTCCTCTGTATACTCTTACGACACCCACAAGTTGATATAGGGTATTGGACATCCTTACACCGCTACTACGCGGTCAATCTATCTGCATCAATCATCGATAAAGAATCAAAATATGAGATGCGTTTTCACCCTTAATGACTAAGATGAAATGCCGCGTTACAAAATAGAGTTTACGGAACTCAACAATTACTATACGAAACCGAACAGGGTTATGTTGCTATTTTACGCTGATGTTCTATTAGAATGTGGTTTTAATCCGGTCGAGGCGTCCCATTCACGCTGCAGTTACAATAAAGAAGCAGCGTGGCTCTACGACGTATGCTTACTACATTTTGAGAGTAATCTTTTTTTTTACAGCAAGTTTTATTACAAAAATATCGAATTTAAGTACGAACGATTCGATATTTTGGTAATAAAACTATTTCCTGGATTTATTTATAAATATCCAAAAGGATCGAACGAAGATGTACAGCCACACATGAGTACGTATTCACAAAAGATTTATAAACGAAGGACATATAGCAGCCTAATCACCCACATTTGTCTTTTTTTTTGTAACTCATTGGAATCCTATGGGTACATCTGTCAAGGTGCGTTCTAAAATAGAAGCATGCCACGTGGGGCGAGGGATTAGGGGACGGGGGACGAAGGGGGACGGGAATGCTTTTAAACGGCCCATTGAATGCGTTGACGTATGCAATTTCAAATTCCCAACAAAAAGTAATAGAGGACCGTCATCTTTGCACAGTGATGTATCGACAGATCTTTAAAACTTTATTGGAAAGAACAACTTGAAATCAAACGAGACTTCCATTTTCTTAAATTAAAATTACGATATTTTTCACCAGGCTGTCAACACTTAAGCTAGAAGAGTAGCACGGAGAGGCGGTGTAAGAATATCCACTACGTCATATCGTGCAATGGGTGTCGTAAGAGGCGATAAAAGCCAACAAACCGGGAAATGAGCAGCAGCGTCTTCCTAATAACAACTAAAAAAACAAAATAAAACTGCGGTAACCAACTTGCCTATCAAGTGTGGCAACTATGGCAAAATATATAAGATAGTAAGATGTAATATAAGTGGAGGCCTCTTTTCAGCAGTGGACGTTGTTGGACTGTTATATTTGAATGAATTTCAACACCTTATTGTCGGACTATTTGCTCTAATTGTCACATGGATTGATGACCGTAGTTCCAGATGTCCCGCACCTTTGACGCTGGTTCCTGTTGATAGATACGAGATGTTAGACCGTCTACCAGTACTTCTAGGCCTTTACTTCTTTTTCCTTTCTTCTACTTTTAAAGCGACTTAGCCTTTTACGACAACCACGGGATGAGAAGGTGGAATAATGTCTGATGTGATGCTGCCTCAACTAAACTGCCAGGAATAATGAAAATTTCATAACTATTTTTCTAACTAATAACTAAAATCAGGCCATAACGTCGCACATAACTAGTTTACGAGCAAATCCCACGCTGGAAATAGGCTTATTACAACTGCCTATATAAAATACTGCAAGAACCAACGCTGAACATAGGCTTTACCGTCATAATTACCGCCTTTCAAGGTTCACTGTTGAACATATAACCACTATTTACATTTGAATATATACCATAATTGCCACGCTTGACTTACGAGTTGGCAACCGTAGTATTTTGTTATTATCTAGAAGATTCTACTGGCCAGCTCTTGTTTCAGTTTCTCTCTGTCGCCTCTGACGACACCAATAGATTCTAAGCCAACTTAATCTATCGATACTCGATAAGCAGTAAGGACCTATGACTTATAACAGGCGTGTCCCATCACTATAGTTAGCTCTCTTCGACGCCTCATAAGTTTTTGTAAATGTTTGAGAGTTATAAAGCGCTCTTGAGGGTGATGCCGTCTCGATGCTTTGAGCTGGGATCATGAAGAGCCGGCGCATTTTAATAATAAAGCTTTGGGTATCGAAGGAGCCTTTCAAAGTGCTCACTATGTATCGGGCGCGTGTTCATATGGGTGTGGTGATATAGGACGGATAGGGGGGAAAATAAAAGATTATGACGCCCGGTGAAGTGAAGGTATTTAAGATTAAAGAAAATGACAGAAGGTATAAAAAACGCTATGCTTTATAGGCTTGATGTGTGAAAGAAAAAATAGGTGTGCTTTTGTATCATGAAATATTACAACTCAAGTTAATTGTAAGTTGTTATCTCTTTAAATATTTAACTGAATAGATTGTAATGAAACTTTACGAACAGATTAAGAGCAATGTCAGTGAGGACCTAGGCTATATTTAATCCGACTATTATAACTTTTTTTTTAAAACTTCTCTTGTTTTATCTTCAATCTAAATAACGCCATATTAATAGATTCTACCCAGGCGAAGCCAAGTCGGGTCCCTAGTGAGCAATAAATATACTTTTTTTTAAATAAAAAGTAAGAGCCGCCTTCTGAGAACTAAAATTCATAAAGCAATTTCCACATAATCTATTACCTATGCAATGTATGATATTTTTAAGGAGAAAAACATTTTATTCTATTTTTCATAATACCCACTGAAGTCGCTGCTAAGACAAAGTGTATAAAAGAATGAAAATCCCCAGTTGAAAAACTATTAAGTGGAAATTATTTCATTATTTTTATTCATTCGATGACGACTTTTACTTAAAGTTTGAACGTTTTTAAGTGGACTGAGGAATATCATAAGCTCATGGTCATGTTGTTTAAGTTAGTTCGTTTATTTTAAAAATTTCACCCCCTCATTTTCCACCTTCGGAGTGCATTTTTTTCTCTAAATTTTGGACTACCACTGAAATGTAACTTAACCTATTTAATAAAAGGAATCATACAAATCGGTTCATAATTGACAAAAATATCGCATAACATACATACAAGAAACATACACTCCAATTAAAAACCTCTCTTTAAAGTAGGCTATAAATATAATTATGTAGCTTCCAACACAAGTGCAGTGGTTATCTCTCGCGGTGGTAGACGTGCGGGATAACATTCTTTGATCTCCGTCAAGGTCGTCGTTACCGCTCAGTCTCACCTGACTGACGTTTATTTGTAAACCGTCGTTTGTGTGCGTTTGCAAGTTTTACGACGTCGCTCGAGGCACTCCAATAACATTTGTTAATGGAAACTTATAGTATGCTTTCCTTTGTGTCTGCGTATAAAAATAGTTTATGTTATTGCAATGTGAAGGAGAGGCGACGAGCTCTGAGACAGTATTTTGTAATGGAAACTTGGAGTTTATTATTGTTTAACAGCATAAACAAGTTTTCACGTCTTGGAGCCATGCTACAGCTATATTATGATTGTAACACGAATGGGTCGGCTCCATGACGAAGGAGTACGACCAGAATACCAGCGTAAAACAGTAGATTAATGCTGCTGTGTTACGTATGGAAAGCATCTGCATTTTGATTCTTAAATGTTTTTTTTTTAATATAAAGGGTGACAAACGAACACTGTCCACCTGGTGGTATGTGGATACCGTGGCCCATAGATATAGATATTTCACCTTTATTCTATAAGTAAATAAGATAACGCTTTATATTTTGATCTTTGAAAAAATAAAACGAGTTTTACATTGCACATCATATTATTACTTCAGATAAGTCATAGATTACCCCCTAATAAAAAGGGGGTAATCTGTGAGATAAGTATAAAATCCTATCGCGAATCTCACAAGAAACATCTTCATCGAGCGAGTTTCTAAAGGAAATCTCTTTTTTATTAGTCTCAAGAGGAGAGTTTTCAAAAATTCTGTTTGAAAAACAATCACAGCATTTGCAAATATAAAGAGGCTATCGGAATGACTGTAGGAAAGTTTGCAGTTTTCTTGCGATACAATACTAGCTGCGAGTTCTGTTTATTTTCTGAGCTGGCTTAAAATAGGGGAAAATCTTAAATAAAAAAATTTTGTTATATTTTACGCTTTAAAATCGGTTAATGCGTTGAAGAGAAGTCGATGAGGAAATATTTCGAAAAATGTGTTTTTTTTTCACATAACTTTTTTTTCATAGGATTAGGGTGACAAACGAGCACACAGTCCACCTGATGGTAAGTGGTTACTTTGGCCCATAGACATCTACATTTATCCTCCATTACGAATTAAAATGCAGAAGCGTTGTCACTCGTGAGGACTAAGACGGGATGCTTCTTTTCCAGTA